TTGAAAAGATTTTGTGACCAGAATACAAAAAGGCGAGTATGTGTCGTCTCAACATGTTACAAGAATGTCGACGTATCATCATCATTGACTGAAGCCTAGAGTAAATGAGCGCAACCTACGAACAATGATCAGATGCGGAGATGTTGGAATCTACAGAGGCATCACATACAGACTAGCCCAGCCGATAGTGGTACGCACAGAACGCACGTAGTGATGTCCGCAAAGTAAGATATACCAGGAACATAGACCACAAAGAGTCCGGGCATAAGTTTTCTTTGTTAATCACACTACTGGGGTAACTGTCTCCCTCGTCTGATGGCACCAAAAGAGAAACAATAACATATAAAAAAGAATTTTTAGATCTTAGTCCTTGATTTGGCATGTCCCAGCGTACATGTACTTGATGCTGATTAGAGCGGTTGACAGCATGACTATCCTGTAGTGAGCCACTGTATGAGTGGTATTTGAAGAGATCAAAGAAAATTAATCTGATAGGAATTGTTGATATTGTGTTCTACAGTGTATTTTTTTGAACGGAAGATGCATGCTGGACAGAGATATCACTCACTCCAGTGCATATTGATGACCTCACGTGTGCTGACAACCGACTCCTACAACATGCCCCCTGTCCAACGGTGAACAGGTGCGAAACAGCGGACAGCCACAACATGTGCAGAACACATACACTGTTGCTCATAAGTTGGAACAAAATATTTTTTGCCTCTTTCCATGAAATGATTGACAGTGTATTTATTTTTATTACATAGGTAATTGGACACTATTAACTGTAATCTATTGTGACCTGGTAAATGAGTGATTCACGTGTTACTGCCATTATAAGAGGATAAACGAGAGGATTGTCGTCTGGAGAAGCAAGAATTATTCAACGTTTATGGGCATACAGTGATACTATAAAGAAGCAATAACAACAGTCTCTTAATCATTCCGACATTTCTCTCTCAGTGATAAGGATACTGAAAGGGCTCAGACTACAGCCATGGGTAATTCTATCAGGACCACCTCCTTTCATCTCCAAGCAGCTCCGGCTCACGCAAGAGCAGCCATGTGGCAGGTTGCATCAACACAAATAACACACGTACACACAGATAACAAAGGACAATGTATGCTGTGTTCTTGCAACGATATCAGACAAGAGGGCTGTGTCTCCACTGTCGACTGTCAGTATAGTCTAAAAATCTGTCCGTGTCAGTCCATATACTGATTTGTTCCAATCATCTTCAGTTTAGAATGGATCCAACATAAATGACCCACAGCCTTACAGCAGAGAAACTAGTAGATGGCTATGGAGTGTGTTTTTTTTTTTTTGATATAAGGAGGCTGAAATTGAGAAGACAAAAGTGAATAGTGGTGTGTGAGGAAATTTGATGGAGGCATACGATATAAGATATAGAATACCTGGAATACTCAGCGGTTCAATGCTAGAAAAGAATAGAAGGGCATTTGTTCCGAGTCCCTCTGACTTTCCTTAAAGGTCCATATGTGTATAAAAGTGAAGCAGTGTACAATGTCTTCTTTGTATCTCAACACAACTCCCTTTGTTAGTGTGTGAGGTGGGGTTGGGGGAGGAAGCGTGGGGAAACAAGGGGTCAGCAGAGTTGTGATGGAGGCCAATAGTGAATGGCAATCTAGTTTGCCGAGTGTGTACAGACTTCACCCTGAAGGTCCCATATTGTGGTGAAAGGTTAGATGTCCATGTTTCTTGGATTAAAAAGCAAGACTGAAGGTTTAATTTATTAAATACTGTAAAAGGTATCTCAAAGGCGGTCGGAGTCGACAGAAAATGCACTACAGCCTGTATTCAGAAACCTGAGCCTTAAAGAACCATCATGATTTCTGTAACTTGTTGTGATGTCAAAAAAGTAGCCGACGGCGAGCGCCTAGTCATGGCGCCCAAAGCCGTGCCCACGCTGGACCCACGCATCCAACCTTGCAGAGATTCATTGATTTCTCTGAGTGTTTACCTGAAAATCGCTTGTATTTTTATTGAGCTCACTCAGAACACAGTCTAGATCAGAGAGAAATCAGGAGCCTCTCTCTCTGGCTGACCTGTTGTCTACTGAGCTCCAAAAGAGAAGCCTGTGTTGGTGAGGGGAGAGGAAGATGCAAAACAACATGAGTATCGTTTTGTTCATTAAAACACAAAATATATCTTCTTTTAAAAAGTGTAAAAATACGAGATCTATTAACTGCACATATCCATACCAGTCAGGAACTTTGAATAATAAATTAATACTTCAACAACAATCCTATAACAGACAATTATACTCTGTAAGTGTAAAAGTGTTTTTTTCATTGGTTTCTTTGTCTGACAAAAATCACCGTGATGTTGTACTATTGTGTCAGCTATTTGCATGTAGTAGCATGTGCCCTTCTAAACCATAACAGCATGCAAGTTCACACAGTGTTATAGATGAGTTGTGTTTGTGTGTGTGTGCCTTGGATCTACATCAACTTGACACACTCTCTGTCTACCGCCCCCCTACCTCGCCCTTTCCTCCACCACAAGATCATATACTCTAGTACTCGTCTCTTCTTTCCTCTCTGTCTCTCTTCTGTTTACGTATCCTGTTTATGTCACACCGTGACTTGCCCTCATTTCTCTTCCTGCGGTAGTTGGTACCTGTTCCTCTTCATTTTTAAATGAGTGGAAATGATGTGTCACTAAAAACTGTAGTCAACAACAACGTTGAATGTTGAAATCTACTTCTGGACTAACGTCAATTCATCACGTATAAAACGATCACAACTTCCTCCAGATCCTTCAACATCAACTTCTATCACCCAACCAAACCCTCATTACTTACAAACGTTTCAACTTCCTCTTCCTGAATATCGAACCATTCCTCATGAACCCATTCCTGTTAGATCATTCTACTCTCTCCCCTAAACCACATGTCCTTACTCCACTTTTGGCAACCCATTTGCCTATCATTCCTACCGTCCACACTCCTCACCCTCCAACAATCCGCCCCTCCCTTGTCCATCTCAACCCCACCACCCCCTGCTCCCTCCCCCCCCCCTGCAGCAGCGTCAACAGCGCCCACAGTAGTGCCTCCCGTTCGTCAGGAGGAGGCGGGAGTGGTGGTATTGGTGGTGGCGGTGGTGGTGGAGGTTCCCAACCCCACTCACCCACTTCCTCCTCCTCCTCCTCCTCCTATCGGTACCGCAGCAGCCTGCCGCACCAGCCTCCGCCACCGGGAGGCATCGCCGCACACCGACTCAGCAGCGTCTCCTCCCACGATTCAGGCTTTGTGTCCCAGGATGCCAATATCTACTCCAAGCCTCCTTCACCCATGCCCTCGGACATCACTAGCCAGGTACAAATGCCTTACACACACGTATGTACACACGCAAATTCAAAGTGAAAGTGTTCATGTGAACATATGGATTCACTCTTGATCAGTATGGACAAATCACTAAACACAATGTTGTTTTACTCTCTGTATTTTTTGCTGTAGAAGTCATCCAGCTCAGCGTCATCAGAGGCCTCAGAAACATGCCAGTCAGTCAGTGAATGCAGCTCCCCCACCACTGTAAGTACTCTTACCCTGTCCACAGAAAGTCTGGACTCTAATATACAGAATCAGAAGAAGCTGCCATCTGTTTGACAGCAAGTTTGCTCATCTATGCAAAACTGTTCTCTTTTAGTTCTGGAAATCAATTAAAACAGGTTGCAGATATAAAAGCTTAAATACTAAATATATAATATTTCTTTTTTTTTTCATTTTGTTTAATGGTGGCTGTGATGAACAGAAATAAAACTTCATGTGTGGTGAAGGTTATCTATTGTCAAAATGGTTGTGGTGGTATAAAGTCATTACAGAGCAGAATAATGCAACAGTTTAAAAGATGATAAGTGACATTCATCAAAGTACCAGAAGTTTGAAGAATCTATGAACTTTTGAAAACATTGGCAGACTTTGACTTCTGGATGGTAAGACAAACTCTCCTAAATAGGCTCTCCAGCAGTGAATTACGGTGGCCCTGACAGCTGCAACACTCTGCAACTTCAGAAAACATTTGCAAATTTATACAACATAACCGAATTCAGAAAAGTGGTGCAAGCAGCACAGACGACAACAGAACTATTTCCAGGGGACACAAAAAAGTGATGAACCTGGCTGGGCGCTTGTTCAATCCTTTGTGACTTTTGAAGTTAAAAGCATTTAACAACACGTGCAGAGTTCATCACTTTTTTGCCACCCCTGGAAACGTTTCCCTTGTTGTCTGTGGTACTTGCAGTGCATCTCTCTATTTGGTTGTGCTGTGTGTATTTGCAGCACATGTGTTGTCAAACTGATGAAGATATTTTCTGAATTTGTTTGTGTTTTGTCTATTTGCATGTGTTTTTTCTTAAGTTGCAGTGCGTTGAGCTCTCTTTTTTGCAGAATCAGTGATGCTGCTTAGGCAAAGTAAATATCCATATTTGATTTTAAGCAGCATCTGTCATCCACAGCAGCTTGCATATATAACTACCTTTCTATGTCAGTTGATTAACGCGCTTTCCAGCCGTCTGACGGCTGTAAGTGGGTGATTCATCCCTAATTTGAGCGATAGTCATTGTCAATGTAGATGCCCCCACATTCGCTGTTTGCTTTGATGAAAACTGTTGCATAACAGTCATGCAAAGTCATAAAACTTCTCTCCCCTTTACATCTCTGCGTCTCTGTCGTCTCTCTGTGTCCACATTAAACAACACTGAGTAACCAGTGCGACAGCTGGATCAGAGTTACCAGTAACTGGAACAACATGACGCTGTGCAGTGTTACTGAATGTTTCCCACCAACAAGCAAAAATACTGTGATGATAAAACATAATCTCACCTTCATATGGCCAATCCATTTGTTTTTCTAATGTGGAATGGGCTCATTGCTGCTCCTTGTGGCTAATGGGGAAACAAACACTCACTATGACTGTAGCCAAGTGTAGTTGCACTGGGTCTGTGCTCCAGCCTCAGGGAGCGGTAAAGAACCCATTATTAGGTTATCAGAGAAAAAAAGTTGCCATTGGCTAAATTCTGTGCTACAATGATGCAGAATTACTGCACTGAAGGAATAACCATAAAATCAAATGCATCTGAATTTTAAATGCATGCTTTGGGCTGCTTTAACCAATCCCATGACCTTTCTAATATAAACTTAGTGAGGCTGTGAAATTCAGGCTTTCTAGGATGTAGTTCTCAGACTAACTTAGACTTAGTTTGCATATAGAGTCATTGTGATGCATGGACAGCAGTGACTAATTGTGTATTTTCTGTTGTCGAACCTCCTGCTGATCTGTTTCACCCTGAGGACTTGGTGTGTGTGTCTACTGTAGGTGTGTTGCTTTAATTCCAGTGGTCTCCAACCACAGCTGGCTGCCTCTCTCTCTCTCTCTCTCTCTCTCTCTCTCTTCCTCTTAGTCCACATCAGTGTCTTTTCCTCTCTCTCTGATGACATGACTATGTCTCTCGTCCCGCAGTTTGGCTCGTCCTTCGCTACCTTCCGCCCCGCTCTCTCTCACTCTGGCTCCACCAGGCCTCTCTCTGTCATTCTTCCTGTTCCTGCGTCCCCACCCTATATCCGCCCCCCCGGATCCAGCTCCTCCTCTCCCACATCAAAGGTTCCTATCTGGAAGGTTTGTTCTCCATTCTCTTCCATTTCCTCAGTTGCACCTTTTTCTTCTGTTTCTGTTCAATATCTTTCAGTTAAAGCGTATATGGTTCATTTTCCTTTACATTTCCATCACCCGATTAACTCATTCATAACCACATTGCTTTGCTTCCTTAAAGTATTCATACCCATCTGCTGTGTGTGCATGCATATTGTTTTGGCCTCCCCCTGTCTCACTCGCTGGTTTTGCAATCGACTGGAGAATCAAAACCAATCGAACTCATCAACGTAAACACATTCAAACGCTCCAAAAGCCCCCTACCCACATACACCCGCCCACACACACACACACACACACTCCTCTGAACACCCAGACACAATCCACCCACAAAGGCTCCCTCTCTCTGCACTCAGATGAAGGGCTTCAAACTGCTGGATAATGGACAAGTCTCTCATGTTAACGCTACCTGCTACTTCCTGTTTATTAATTCCACTCACCTCTTCAGGATTGGTCCAAAGCAGGTCAGTATGAGCAGCCGGTGGCTGCAGCAGCAGTCCAGAGGAGAAAGGAACCTCTCGACAGGCTGAGGGAGAACGAGGCATCGCCGGGCTCCCAGGGGTACGCCGGGCCATCACACCCCGATGACGGGCAGAGATCCAGGATGACCCCGGCTACTATTGCTGCAAAGGTAATACTTTTTGATGCTTACAAGCAGGTTGGAGGTGTAAGAGAAATACAGTTACGTAAATTTGCAATACTGTGAGAGTGTGTGCATAAATATATAAAGTTCAGCCTATAAGAAGCCAAGCAATTACTTCAGTTTATTAGCTACAACAGCAATATATCATCCAATTACTGCACAATAAGTTTGATAATCTTAAAATCTTATAATTTTGATCTGCCGAATAATACTATGTCAATAAATTAATACAAACCAGAGCGCTTCTGGTATCTGCTACACTCAGTGGACATTTTTCAGGGAAAAAAAGAGAGATTAGCCTTAACGAACAACCCACACACAGAGGTTTTAGGCTTGAGAGGATTTAGTTTTTTACCACTTTGTTTTCATTTGAAAAGGAGACTATAATAGCAGCAAGTGAACCAACCACTATGGAGAAAATTAATTCTGTGATAGAGGCCAGATTTTAGTTTTGGAGTGATGGACAACATTTTACTTGTTTACTTATGTTTCTTCTGGTTTCCATTATTAGCCAACACATTCTCACATCATTGCAACAAAAATACAAATTATAATAAAATGATCATTAAATAGATCATATTCATGTATCAGAAAAATGAATGAAGTTTCTACAACATGTTGAAACACCCTACTGCTGGTTAACTCAGCAGTGTGATGCTGGTAATGGGAGTTACTGGAACAAATCCCACTTGTAATCAAGACAATGTAAATGTATAAATTCATTCAAATTTAGTCATTGAACAAATGACTGATTAAACATCCTTCCAACGTGGCCTCTCTGTTCATCCTCAGCATGGAGAGGAGGTTTCACCAGCAGCCAGTGACCTTGCCATGGTGCTCACCAGAGGACTGAGTATGGAGCAGCAGAAGAGCAGCAGAGACTCTCTGCAGTACTCCAGTGGATACAGCACCGAGACCACGACCCCATCCTGCTCCGAGGACACAATCCCCTCACAAGGTGACTAATCTGCTCCGCTCTACAGCAGCTTTTAATCTTCTTCAGGCCATATTTATTACATTTCCTCTGGCCACATTCATCATCTTTTTTTTAATTTATTTATTTTTTTTATAAAATTTCAGAAAAGCCAACCTGTGATGGGATGGGATTATGAATTTTTAAAATATATCAATATTTACAAGCTCTGCAGAATCCATCATTTTCACTAGGACCCGCAACTTTAGAGTGTAGTATTAAAATCAAACAAAGTGAATTATCCACGCAGCAGGTACATCATATGGCAGGAGTAATTTGACACTCTCTTTGATAGCAGCCAGGAAATTACAATATTATAAATGAAACTGAATAACATTAAATGTCTTCCTGTATAAAAGTGCCACCCTTCCCAAATAATCTGGCTATCCCTGTGTTTTCTTTTATGATGGGAATTCTCTTCGTCACTTAAAAAATTCATGATCATCTCCTTCTCTGCCTTCATTAGGTTCAGATTATGACTGCTACTCAGTGAACGGTGATGCTGAAGGTCCAGACGGACAGACAGAGTTTGACAAGTCCTCCACGATTCCTCGCCACTCCAACATCGCCCAGAACTACCGGCGCATGATCCAGACCAAGAGGCCAGCCAGTACAGCTGGTCTACCCAGTGGTGTTCTCGGTCCCGGTGCCCATGGGATACCAGGACAACCTGGTGGAGCTGGTGGAGGCGGAGCAGGGACTCCAGGCACTGCCACCATCCGGCGAACCCCATCTACCAAACCAGGTGTGAGGCGCACACTGTCCAATGCGGGTCCGATCCCCATCCGACCACCCATTGTGCCTGTGAAGACACCCACTGTTCCCGGAGACTCACACTCACCTGGGGCGGGTGGTGGTGGGTACGCAGGTGGAGGACATTCAGGTGGCGTGCCTGTGCGTGTAGGCAGTGAGGAGTGCGTGTTCTTCACTGGAGTCGAGGACGCACAGGGTGCGCTTGATTATGTCAAGGCGTCACCCAAGCGCCTCAGCCTGCCTAACACCGCCTGGGGATCAGGGGCGGCATTAGAGGTCTACGCCCAGCAGCACGGGGGCCTTGCACTAGGAACAGGTTCAGGGGCCGGATCAGAGGAGGATCAGATGATCGCGGCCAATCGGCACAGCCTAGTGGAGAAGATCGGCGAGTTGGTAGCCAGCGCACATGCCCTCGGAGAGGGCCAGTTTCCTTTCCCCGCCCTCCCCGATGACCCGGCCCCGCCTCCAACTGGCCCCACCGACTCTCAGACAGGGACAGAGGAAGCAGAGGGGTCCGGCGATATGCTGACCACTATCAGGAGAGGAGTCCGCCTTCGCAAGACCGTCTCCAATGACCGCTCTGCGCCACGCATCTTGTGATTGGAGGAGAAGCAGGAAGAAGATGATACTTGTCAGCCAATAGGGAGTCAGGTGTTGGTGTGGTGCAACCCAACCACCTAGTACATACACAAAAACTTAACCATGTAGGGAAAGCTATAATATAAAAGAAGATGAATGAAAACAAAAACATACACAAAAAATAAATTTAAAGACACCATTAGAGTAAATGATATATGATATTATGATAATAATAACATTAATAATGTTAATCCATGCTGACGATTAAAAGTTAAATACTGAATATTGACAGGCTCCTAGCAGGCCACTATAACTAGTGTGTGTTGGACGCATGTTTGTCTTCTCTACACCCTCACCCAGGGACGGAAAGACTTGCAGGAAAAAACATATAGGATTGAAAAAGAGGCAAAGAAAGAGCGAATGACTGGGTTCTGTTCTGTTTGCCAACTTACACTTCCCCCCTCATCTTCTTCTCCAACTAACCCGACCATCTAATCCCAGATGAAAGACAGCACGACTGAAGGCGGGACCCCGGCTGAAAAAGGGCGCGGGACATCCTGGTTTGGGGGGTGGTGCGGGGTAAGGGATGTGGTAGGGGGGGGGGGGGGGGGTCAGAGTGCCATGTGACCAGCTGGATTTGAACCTGTCTCAGCAACAGCACACTGTACTTATTAGCCCACTGAACTGAAACTTTTGGTATTAGCACGGGGAGCTAACAAGCCAGAGGAGTCCTCTGGCTCATCCTAATATAAAAGAGTCTTTAAAAAAAATACTGTTGGCATTGAACCGTGCTAATGCCTCCCTTCCCCTCTCTCTCTCTCTCTCTCTCTCTCTCTCTCTCTCTCTGTGTAGTGTGTGTGTGCATTCATTTGTATGCATGTATGCAAATGTGAAATTTGAGCGTGTATGCAGATGTGGTTGATTGTGTGTGTGTGTGTGTGTGTGTGTGTGTGTGTGTGTGTGTGTGCAAGCGTGCGCGCGTGCGAGGGGGGGTTGGTAGAGCTCTGCTGCAGGACAGCTGGTTGCCCAATCAGGGCAGGGCTTTTCTCCTGTGTGTTGTGTGTGTATTTTCTTGTTTATATCGTGACGTCATTTACCTTGTTGCCACTGTACGAGAAGTTACGATAAGTAATCCAGGCGTATAGATATATTCATATATATTTTCTAGAACCAGAGAGAAAATGTTAAATCAGAAATGGAGCAATAAATGTGTTTTATTTTCTTGTTTCGAAAAATGAGGATCGATGGGAGTATTGTGGATTCTCCTTTGTCACATTCAGGCAATCATCAGGAATGCTAAATTACATCGACTGTGAATTCATGCCTAGCCGATTTTGGCGTCTCTCTCTCTCTCTCTCTCTCTCTCTCTCTCTCTCTGTCCCTGTCTCTGTCTGGGGGAGGAAACTGATTACAAAAATGTTGAAAAAAAAAAAAAAAAAAAGGAAAACTGTAAGCACTTTGAGAGGTGGTAGAGTATGTACAATAGCCACTAGGTGTTGCTCTAGTCATACTGTCTGATAGGAAGAGTGAAAGTGAGAGAGAAGGTTGCCAATAAGACACTGTCCTGAGGATATTATTTGATTTGCAGAAGATGAAGAGGAAGACTGGGAAGGAGAAAGAGGAAGTGATAAAGACTTGTGGAATTGGAGTGATTGGTCAAATGAGAGATGGGATAAGAAAGTAGAGCAAAAATATTTATCTAAAAATGGATTTGATGTCAGGGCCCTTCAGGGTACTACAAGCCATCGCCTGCTGTGGACTGAATAGGGCTGAAGGTTTTTATGATGTGGCTGCACTGGTATCTGAAGGACTGAACATACAATGCAAATAATACACTGCACATATACAGTAGGTCAGACTACTTTTGGAAATAGGCTTTAAAGGCTTGGTTCACCCAAATGAGATGAAGAAACATATTCTCATTAACCTTGCATATGTTATTTATCCAGGTTGAGATATCTATCTCTGACATGTCTGCCTCCATCCTATAATAATGGAGGCGGAGGTCATTTTGTTTGTGGTGCTGACAGCACTGCAAAATCATATTTTTTAAAAATCAACAGCTACTTGTCTGCTCAGAGACAATGATGTCCATACCTTTACTGTGGAAGTTCTATCTCAAAAAATGTTGACAGCACATGCTATGAATTACTTAGAGCTACAAGGACACCATCTCAGAAAGACAAATTACTGTTGAATTTTATAAATGACATTTTTTAATACTGTGAGCACAACAAATGAAATTCAGTTCACCTGCGTTGTACTGATGTGGAGGCAGAAATCTCAAAACCTGGACAAATAAATCCAAAACCATAAACATGGCTAGAATTTACAGACATACAAAAAGTCACAAAATATGTTTATTTGTAATTGTTCATTGACACTCAAACACATCAACTATCTGACTTTCTCATGTAGATTATGTTCATTGGATATATGGGCTATTTGAGTGGCGTGAATGTTCTCTGGAGTTTTTGAAATTGAACACAGTGGGACTGTATTTCCAATGTACAAAATGCCCTATGTTAGAAAGTACACTTCACTCATGCTCATGTGCAAATACATATCAGCACCACAGATTTGCATTGTTAGAAAGTAAAGATAAGCCTTGAACATCGCTGAACAAGTCACTCTAGTTAAAACCTCCTCCCTGCACAAAATGAAATAGCCTACAGCAATCTTGTGTTACATTTAAAAGGATATTAGGCTAATCAAAAAACAAATTGCAGAGGACTATAGCTACACTAGCCTAATGTTGCAATGGGAGGCAAAAGATTATGAAACACATGAAGAGAATGCATACAGTTAGTTGCTAATAGTGTTGTATAACATCAAATTACTTAGCAAAAGTGTGATCAGTAGCTAAAATTACAATTTGAAATTCTGACATTACATTACAATTACTAATAAACAATTAGGGTGTTAAATTGTTTGCTGTCTCAGCGAGAGTTTGATGGAGAATTGCTATCAATGTCCTCCCTGTGGGTAAGAGGACAGACTGCAGCTGGATGCATTAGCCTGATGCAGGGGCAGGAAGTGTGGGGAGGTGGTTTGCTTTTGCCAGAAGAGTAGAAGTAAATGTGTCTTCCGGTAGCTCCACAGTTGTCTTACAGTATTCATTTGTTGTGTTTTCTTAGCTGCCAGTTTGCAACTAGTAGCTTCGCCTTTAGCCGAAGCCATCAAATGGGGAAGGGACTTCTCTGTAGTGCTGCCAGCGGGGCTAAGCTAACGTTAGCCATTGATGGTCTTGTTTTGTAGTTTCACATACGCTGAATACAGAAGATGTGATTTGTGGCTGTGGAGGCTTTGAAGCTGTTCAAAGGCACCTTTGATGAAACTAGGCTGAGTGCTGGAAGTGAAGTCAAAAGTAATGTAGCTAACTACCATACAGCTGTTCTGTAATTGTTGAAGAGGAGTTGATTACATTTTTCATTACTGGTTTGCTAAAGACTGGTGTCACCTGAAACGTAAGCACATTTATACCAGCATTTAATGAACGTAGTTCCAGTTACCAAGTTTGAAAAAATTCACCAGGCTACCACTGTACGGTTCTGATAAGTTCAGTGCAAATAACCCAGTTTGGCTCAGGACATGGCAGTATGAAAGGATTACTTATGGATTATTAAGAAAAGGTCAAGCCCGCTTGATGCATCCATTGATGACAAAGAAGCAGAGTGGTTTAAATTAGACGTTTGAAGCTGACAGAGAGAGGAAAAGATGTGTGGAATGAGCATTTCACTGCCTGTTCATACAGTGTGTACTGTATGTGCTGTACCTGTAATCGAGAATCAGACGCACAGATTTGGTATAAAGGTTTGTTAGAAAATATTACATGGACTATTCAGTTTTATTTTTTATTTCATTCTCTAGTACCATTTGAATATTTAGTCTTACTTTTAATTAACGTCAAAAAAAAAGAAGAAAAAACTCCAGTTGTAACACAAACTACTACTGTGTAACATATGGATGCAGGATGTGTGGGCCGAGAGTGAGTGTGTCTTTGTTTGGCTGTTGAACTGTAGGCTAGTGAACTCTTCATCAACATGTCTGTACGCGCTTCTAGCAGTGGCCTGGACACAGCTGGTGACATCAGCGCTCTTTCATGCTCTTTTCGTGGACTTATTTATTTCTTGCTGAATAGAGCACTGTTTTAGACATATATGTTTATGACTGTTTAAGAAGAAAAATTAGGAGGATTTAATTTAAAGAGACAGAGAGGAGAATGTTAGCATTTTGTAAACATTTTCACCCTCTGTGAGCACTTTTTTTTTTTTTTTTTTTTTAAACAGTGCTTCAGCAAGGGGATTTTTTTTATTTTATTTTATTATTATTTTTTGTCTGGGGGGAACTACTGTATGTGTGTTGCCACATGCGGATGCTGTGTGTTGTACCAGGTGAATCTGACTGGGTGAGGGGGTGGAAGGGAAGAACAGCGGGCTTGGACTTCATCCCCCCAAAAGAAAAAATGGTCGGGTGAGAAAATGTTCAGTGTTTTAGTATAAGACCGCCTGTTGAGGTCACACTGTACATGAATATACGTATGTATGCTGAATGTACTACAAGCTGAAGGGTGATATCAAACTGTACATGTGTGACTTGCTTGAAATGTTGCAATGTCCGAATTTTGTTCTTGTACAACTGAATGAAGTTTCCCGTCTAAACAGCAGGAAAGCAATACAGGGGTTAGTGTGCATGTACGTACATTCACAATGATGTTCCAGTGTGGGTGTGTTAAAGGAAAATACCACTGTTTTGTCCACTCTAGGATACTTGTGTTCCCCCATCTGTAAGGGATTTCATATTGCATGGCTCTAATGGTATGATTTGGAGTTTTGAAACCGTTTACTGCATCCAAGGACACTGCTAGAGCCGACTCCACTAGTCTGAATGTTTATCTGCTGTGCGTTTATGAATTCCAGTGCAAACTGAACCAACTGAACTCACTGCCAGTGATCTACAGTAAGTTATTGCTTGAATAAAGGGTTTAAAATGCCCTGCAGAACAGACGCGCTGCTTAATTCCAAATGATGGATAATAACTCAGGACAATGTAGGGTCTTCACATTGACTGAGAGGTCAAGACAGTCAGATCTAACTGCACATGCTCCTGTCATGCAACAGGATGACTGGATGTAGGATGAGTGTGAGGTGAGAGAGTAAGATACAACAGT